ATATATATATATATCACCCTTTATTCCATATATATATCTTTTGTAAAAGTCAGGAAATTGTTTTTCAGTTCAGCTAGTAGGATTTCCATTTCAATGAATATAGCAGTGGTCTAATGGAAGGGTGAGAGCTCTAAGGGGGCACCACTATTGTGACAGTGTTCTAGGAAACCAAGTAGCTGTCAGGAGGTAGAATAAAAGCATAAAGTCTTGAAGCATATAGAATTTCAACATCTGAAAAATGTTGTTACCCTAACGCTATGCAGCCTGAAAGCACAACGATATAAAAGTATATGCAGTAGAAATATTTTGCCAAATAGGACAGTTACTAAACAAGCATTTCAACTATGCTTTTATGTTTGTCTGGAGTTGCTGTTTTAATATACAAATTAATTATGATTAAATGTAGATTATAAATATGAAAGTGAATATATGCTTCAGTGTGTTGTATGAGCCACACACACACACTCATTTTCAACCACCGATGTCTTCACTGCTGTGACTTGATGTGGGTAAAGAAATGAGATAATGGGCACATAGAAGTCCCATTTTCCTGCATACTGAGAAATCTCAGCAACTAAGTTACACAAATAAAGGAAACATTTTTTTGGAAAAGTCTAGAGAAAATGCTGTGATGGGTTTAAGGGAGTGTTGGTCTAGTCTTTTCTATTGCAGACAGAGCCCCTACCATATGTGAGATGTATAACCTGACAGTGTATGACCAGTCTTGCTTTTTTTTTGATCAAGTATTGAAGGGGTGTATTTATAAAATGTTCACAGACCAAACAGCTCTGCAAACATCTAAGTTTTAGACTTACAGCTCACTATGGCCACTAGATGGAGCCAAGGAGCACAGGAATTTCCTATGCTCTGGCTCTATCTAGTGGCCATAATGCACTGCAAATCTAAAACATTAATGTTCATAGAGCTGTTTGCTCTGTGAACATTTTCTAAATACACCCCTTAAATATTTGCTCAAAAAAGCAAGACCGGTCATACACTGTCAGATTATACATCTCAAATATGATGGGAGCTCTGTCTGTCATAGAAAAGACCAACACTCCCTTAAACCCATCAAAGAGTTGTTTTTGTAAATATCTTAAGCTAAACCACAGTAATCCTATTTATGTTGTTTGTAAGGGAACAGAATACAGCTATTTTATTACACACCTCAAATTATGCAACAACAGAATGTTCTTGGCTTCATTACTAATTGGGAACTATTGTTTTCTGTACATTACACTACTTTTATTCTACAATAAGTTCTGTATTAAAAATAGAAAGTTGTAAAACCTTATGGAGGAAAGTCAATAAATCTTCTACAGCCTTTATACATTATAACCCCAGCCGTTTTCAGTTAAACAAGAAAAACTATATATTGACGCAATTCATATTTCATCTTCTATTGTTGGATTTTAGATCCTCCATTTAGCAGATCCATTTCTCTGAAAGACAAAATACAGCTTTTAAGTCTACATGCAAATAAGAGAGCAAACTAGCCTTACGGAGCACATCAGTTTCAGTACGGACAGCTGGATAAATAATCTAATCTGTCTAATAAAAGAAAGCTTGTTTACAAAATCGGCAGAGCTAATCTTATTTGTAAAATGCCTGCTTTCATTCCTACAATGTGTTCTACGGTTCACAGCTGGCAAAAATGTCTTATTTTTCTAATGCATAATACAGCGGTACTTGAACCTATGGCAACCAATCATTTATTTAGTTGAAAGCCTGCTGAAAGTCTACCTGAAGTAGACCAGTTGCTTGTTGTTAGTCCTGCCATTGTTCATTCCAATTGAGTCTATAACCTGCAAATTGTTCACTCTATACAATATGCAAATGGCAAGTGACATTAAATAATTTACATTTACTTTAATTAGGCTAACCATCTAAGACACAGTCTTGTATAAGATAATATTGATAATACAGCCGTCACGGCTTCCACAAAGCCAACAGTCATAGAGGAGGCCTGCTTCAATACTCCCACCTTCCTTCCTTGTACAATTTTTTTATCTGGACAACCGTTCCATTGTAAATACAGCCAGGCAGAACTGATAGTACAGAGTGTGCTTAAGATGAACAATGAATTACACATATTCAAAGTATGTACCGCCACATGTACAGGCTTTGGTTGCACATAGATGGAAAGTAAGCCTATCCACATTCAGAGGTTTGTAAAGAAATGAAATGACAAGCTAACTTGAGGTTCCTGACTAGGTAGGGAGGTGTTCATGGAAGGTGTCATTCATTCCAATTGAAGGAGAACATTTTATTGCACTTGTCTCACTACTCATCATTATTAGTAGCAGTCCTGCTTTCCGTAGCCAGTCTAACACAGCACAGGGATTGGAAAAATGTGTGAAAAAACACCAAAGTATGCAACTAAATATGTGTGATGATTATAATAGTTTGTTCCTGGACCAAGTAATATCAGATTCTGTAACTGAAACTAGTTTGAGGTCAATTTTCTTTTTTAAATATACAGTATATACAATTCCTAGCGCATTATGGGAACTAGGAACACCATTTGTCAATTTCAAAGTTCACATTTCAGTTTAAGCTACTGATCTCATCCCACTTTTCACAACAGAGGTAAGGAGGATTGTTTGCTGAATTTGGCTTTTGAATTTTACAACTTACCTCTTGCAGAAAAATAGCACGGCTCACAGTGAATAGTTTGCTTATAGATCCACATACTGTCACCAGCCTTTAGATTTTTCAAGGAACCAGAACATGCTTCACACTGAAATACAAGAGATATGATCATGTAGCTGATGTAAAGATTAAAATACCACATTCATGTAATGCAGGAACATGCTCTGTCTGCAATAATGGCAGAGATTATTATACAATTAGGCTGGGCATAGATTTGTTTCCCCTGCAATTATGGATGGGGTAATATCTGTATGTCAGCTGTAGTCCTGAGACTCACCAGAGTAAGGCTGTTAACACAAGGCATTCTGGGATTTCTTGCAGCAGGAATCCCAGGTGTCCCCATGCAGATAAAGTGAATGACAAGGTAACAGCGGGCTGCATCTGTCAGCCGCAGTCCACATGTTATTGTACACGGTACGATTATATGCAGTTTGGGATAGGTGGCTCTCACTGGATGCATCTATCCTGCCTCCAGTGACAATCATCTATGCCAAACCACGTGTAATTGTACCATGTACAATTACATGTGGACTGCTGCTGCCAGATGCAGCCGTTGTCATTAACTTGAATGGGTATAGCGGCCGCATCTGAACGAGGATACCTGGAATTCCTGCAGCAAAACGTACGGATTCTTGCTGCAGGGATCCCAGAACACAGCCTAAGTCCCCATGTAAAAGGGGCCTAATTGCATGATACACCTTTTAAAGTGAAGCAACACACACACACACACACACACACATACACACACACAGTAAATAGCTTCTTTACCTGTTCTCAGTGAGAAGGAATGAACAGACATTTGTGAAATCTACAGTATGAGAGTGATTCCAATGTCTAAAGCACTGATGATAACCTCCTGAACTGCTATTAGGCAGCAGGACCAGGGTGGGATTGGGCCATTTATGGCCAGCCTTACTTATAGCAACCAAACAGATTAGATCAGTGATTTCTGATCTGCTGGCATGTTTACTACACAGAGAAAGAGACTACCATGCATGGATGCCAACTTGGGATGAGTGGAGAACTGAAGCACATGTTTGATTACTTGTCCTCTGAGGCAATTGGGATTAAACTTCACTGTGAATCTGCAGAATTCTCCATTATTTGCAGAAGAAACATTTTAGTGTATGTGTTTAGAAACACACCAGCTTAAACCACATTGAAGTATGTAATGGAGAGGTACTGGACCTGACAATAAAACCATATCTTAGTTCATCATTAAATTAACTTAAAGTACAGCTCTAGCCAAAGTCTTTTGTTTTGTACAAGGTTTGGAAGGGTTCGTACTGTCTTCAGATTTGTATTGATTTTTCTGTAACCATTGTGGAGATTGTTCTTATTTCCTGTGTGGTCATGGAGGCAGGAAGTACACAAGATTTACCCTAATATAAGGCAAAGGGCCCTTGGTTGTAAATGTCAAAAGGCTACTGGCCAGTATCTAAAGTTCTGCCAGCATTGGGGACCTTAGTTGGAGTACTCTTAAACAAAAATTTTGTGAAATGGTGGCATGGTACAAAGTTCCCAATAGTGAAGGGTTTCCTGGTAATTGGATTTCTTGTGGGCCAGTGAAAGTTCCCTGTCTCGGGCCAGTGCCCAATGACATTTCAGACAACCTCTAAAACAGGCAGGGTGATGATCCCTGTCTCAGAAATCTCAGGATCTCTGGCAGCAGTCATTGATTCACTCAATCTCCACAGCAGCAGCCACAGCCTCTCTGAGTGGCAGTATACAGCAGCAGCAGTGATGTCTAACTGCAGTGAACAGATGCACAGCAGACAAACAGATGACACAGTCCTGTCTGCATTCTCGCTCCATCCCAGATAGCAAGCAATTGAGCTGCAAGTTTGAAAATGACTTGCTAAACTATTGCAGACTTGCCAAGCTTCACAATTTTGTTGCACAATTACATCAAGTCTGCATTGCAAGTCTCCAGACCAGCGAGCTTGCAGAGCTCTTGCTAAGACCTGCAGGACTCTTGCTGTAGACTTGCCAAGCAAATTTGCTACAAATTCAAAAAGTGTCAACTAGAACTTGTGCTGCAAGTGTTCTGCAAGTCTACAACTTGCCAGGAATATGTGCAGCAAGTTAACAAAATTACAATTTCACCCTGCCACAAGTTTGTAGCAAGTTATCCTTGCTATCTGGGATGTGTGTCTGAACTCCATGGGTATAGCGGCCGCATCTGAACGAGGATACCTGGAATTCCTGCAGCAAAACGTACGGATTCTTGCTGCAGGGATCCCAGAACACAGCCTAAGTCCCCATGTAAAAGGGGCCTAATTGCATGATACACCTTTTAAAGTGAAGCAACACACACACACACACACACACACATACACACACACAGTAAATAGCTTCTTTACCTGTTCTCAGTGAGAAGGAATGAACAGACATTTGTGAAATCTACAGTATGAGAGTGATTCCAATGTCTAAAGCACTGATGATAACCTCCTGAACTGCTATTAGGCAGCAGGACCAGGGTGGGATTGGGCCATTTATGGCCAGCCTTACTTATAGCAACCAAACAGATTAGATCAGTGATTTCTGATCTGCTGGCATGTTTACTACACAGAGAAAGAGACTACCATGCATGGATGCCAACTTGGGATGAGTGGAGAACTGAAGCACATGTTTGATTACTTGTCCTCTGAGGCAATTGGGATTAAACTTCACTGTGAATCTGCAGAATTCTCCATTATTTGCAGAAGAAACATTTTAGTGTATGTGTTTAGAAACACACCAGCTTAAACCACATTGAAGTATGTAATGGAGAGGTACTGGACCTGACAATAAAACCATATCTTAGTTCATCATTAAATTAACTTAAAGTACAGCTCTAGCCAAAGTCTTTTGTTTTGTACAAGGTTTGGAAGGGTTCGTACTGTCTTCAGATTTGTATTGATTTTTCTGTAACCATTGTGGAGATTGTTCTTATTTCCTGTGTGGTCATGGAGGCAGGAAGTACACAAGATTTACCCTAATATAAGGCAAAGGGCCCTTGGTTGTAAATGTCAAAAGGCTACTGGCCAGTATCTAAAGTTCTGCCAGCATTGGGGACCTTAGTTGGAGTACTCTTAAACAAAAATTTTGTGAAATGGTGGCATGGTACAAAGTTCCCAATAGTGAAGGGTTTCCTGGTAATTGGATTTCTTGTGGGCCAGTGAAAGTTCCCTGTCTCGGGCCAGTGCCCAATGACATTTCAGACAACCTCTAAAACAGGCAGGGTGATGATCCCTGTCTCAGAAATCTCAGGATCTCTGGCAGCAGTCATTGATTCACTCAATCTCCACAGCAGCAGCCACAGCCTCTCTGAGTGGCAGTATACAGCAGCAGCAGTGATGTCTAACTGCAGTGAACAGATGCACAGCAGACAAACAGATGACACAGTCCTGTCTGCATTCTCGCTCCATCCCAGATAGCAAGCAATTGAGCTGCAAGTTTGAAAATGACTTGCTAAACTATTGCAGACTTGCCAAGCTTCACAATTTTGTTGCACAATTACATCAAGTCTGCATTGCAAGTCTCCAGACCAGCGAGCTTGCAGAGCTCTTGCTAAGACCTGCAGGACTCTTGCTGTAGACTTGCCAAGCAAATTTGCTACAAATTCAAAAAGTGTCAACTAGAACTTGTGCTGCAAGTGTTCTGCAAGTCTACAACTTGCCAGGAATATGTGCAGCAAGTTAACAAAATTACAATTTCACCCTGCCACAAGTTTGTAGCAAGTTATCCTTGCTATCTGGGATGTGTGTCTGAACTCCAGGGCACCCAGCACAGTCCTCCCCTCCATTCAGGCACTCTGTGAGAAGTAGTTCTATGCTCCTTTCGCTGCAAGCACTTCTCTTGTGCCTAGACTTTAGTTCCCAAAAGTCTTTACAACTCTGAGTGTGCTGTGTTTACCCAAGCTGCTTTACAGCTAATGCAAGTACCCTTGACACTGGTTGTTAAGGGCAGGATTGTCCAGACTGCAGCAGCCAATTAAGATGCTCTCCTGGCTCTCCTTTCCCTTCAACTGTCCATCAAGCAGAGAGTGGATGCAGCATCTAGGGAGCAATAATCTGCCAGGCTGGTTAAAGGAGCCACAGCCCAGTGGGTGCTACATAATTATAATATTTAATGACTGAATATTCACATTCCTGTATAAGTACAATCATGACTGATTATCTTTACCTTAAAGCATGTTGCATGGCAGGATATGTTTAAATCTTTAAGGATCATTTTGGCATCAATTCCAAGTGGCTTCCGACAGTAAGTGCACATGTCCTTTTCAATAACAGATCTATTTAATATAAAAATGGTAATTAGTTCCCACAGTGTTAGACATATAATCTAATGTACTATTTTTATCATGTCCGATAATAACTAAATGCAACATTACAAAAACTGCACTAACAAATGCAATGTGTTGTTATTACCATTTCCTTTCAACTCAAAATATACTAGCATCTCTTTGAGACAAAACTATTTAACTGAGGCATATACTTGTTCAGCAGATTTACTCATAACAGCTAGAAAGATACTTTCTGTTATCACACAACAGAGGACGAAAGCTATTTGCTAGCTTGCTTTACTTGTGTAACGCATTTTCAAGTATAGACCAGTATTATGGAATTACTGTCTGCACTCATTGTTTATTCTTACGGTGAGTGTTAGCATTGACTAGTAATCACTTTAGAACCTTAATAATCATCTTAATAGTGAAATGTCCTAAAAACCTTTAACAAAGATTCTAGGACATATTTCCTACCTTAAGCTCCTCTCCCCCTGCCGCCAATACCCCCGCCGCTATTACCAGCAAATTAAAAGCCTGGAATCGCTATGTATTATATAGCAGGTGCAGCTGTCAAAATGCAGCAGCTCCTACGTAAAATGACATGTGTAGATAGTCTGCAAGTGTCATTGAGTAATACATTATAGCAATGTATTTTTACACTGTATTTACTAGTTCAGTCATATGGAGATCAAAGGTGTGACCTTTAATCTGCATGTGACATAAGTTAAAGCAACCTTGCAAGAAAAAAGAGATCCTATTTAACCCCTTAGTTAACCCTAATTAGCCCCAATTAACCCAATTCCTCTCCTTCTCCCCTTAGCTATTATTTTTTTGCTGATTTTTTTTTTTAATGTTAATTTTTTTTTAGCTTAATTTTGTTTTGTTTGCTATCTCTTAAAAATAATAATAATAATTGCATTTGCAAATAACTTGGCCATGCCTTGTACCAGAAACATAATTTTCGTGACATTTTAAATGGGACGAATTAAATCAAATCTATACCTTTTATTTATAGTAAGCCTCCATTCCCACTTTTGTAATGCGACATCGCAGATGCACTGCAGTAGGGCAGCCCATTCATTAGAGGAAAATCGCACTCAAAGAAGTACATGTACCTTTTTTTAAATGCATCACACCATATGGCACAGTAATAGGTTACCAAACCATGCGATTCAATGCTCATGCAATGCTTAGATACTTTAGGGAGCCTAGGTGCACCTAACACCAACAACATGCGATGTAGGATTACGTGCGGCAGCACACCTGCTGTTGCATCACAAAGATGTGAATGTAGCCTAAAACTACTTTTTTTAAAGTAACACTGTTCAAAGAGAGACAGAGAGAGAGAGAGAGAGAGAGAGAGAGACAGAGAGAGAGAGAGAGAGACAGAGAGAGAGAGAGACAGACAGAGACAGAGATAGAGAGAGAGAGAGAGAATGTATATATATATATATATTATTTTTTTGGTGAGAGAATATATATATATATAAATATATATATATATTCTCTTACAAATAAAATACTGTACCTACCGATCAGAAGTGGAATAGACAGTTTTAATGGAATTTGATATGATAGATTGGCTATCATATATATTAGGTGATGATTTCCTGTTAAAGTAAAGAAACACATTTTAATTTTCAAGGTTTGCATAAACATACCTTATATTAATAAGATAGGAAATGTCTCTGCTCCTCTGCTCCATCTAGTGGCAGGAATGAACTGCATTCACCCAGCACTTGGCTGGGAGGCAGATTTATAAATCAGCCCCATTTATATTCTGGCAGTGCGATAAAACATATTGTTCAAATGGAGGAACACATACGTTTTTTGTTACCTAGTGTCTTATTTCGTGCAAAAAAAAAATAAGACACTGTCTTATTTTCGGGGAAACACGGTATGAGGTGAGTGAAAAGCACTCACCTCATAGTTCTCCTTTAAGATTGCCTTAAAATATTCAGATTTTTCAGGTTCTAGGATATGCAGCCAACAAAACTATACCAAATGATCAGGCAATATAGCCACAGAAAAATCTAGAGGGTTTTCAACATTCTGCTGTAGATCTCATAGAGATCAATGAATATACAAGACATTTATGCTGTACTTTGTAAGATTACCATGAATCCTGTGTGTAGGTAACATTGGGTCGAGTACTTGGTCCATCAGTAATGTCTTTGTAAGTTGTTGTTGTTGTGGAACGACGAGATGGAGCGTCACTGCTGTCATCTGAAAGCTTGTAGGAAGTTGAGGTAGTCGAACGTCTGCTTGGGGAATCCTGGGAGTCATTGGCAACATTGTAAGTTCTGGTTGTGGTTGAACGCCTGTTTGGTGCATCAGAGCTCTCGCTTGTAATATTGTATGTGGTAGTTGAAGTTGAACTACGGGTTGTAGTATTGCTGCTATTAACAGGATATTTGGTTGTCCTAAAATGATGAAACTATGCATTTTAGATTCATTATATAGTACACCAAAGAGTCTTAAATCTTAGATAGCACAGTAACTAGGGACAGTTACTAAAAACCGCTTAAACACTGCAAACAAGTCAAACAAAAATTAGACCCAAGAGCTACAGTCTTGTCAAAGATTCCCAAATGAAATTGATAAATATGTCACATACTCTTTTTCTTTTGACTTAAGACACCTGTGCTGTAAAATAATTGTTTCAGCTAATCTTTTTGTCTCAGCACCTTTGGCCATATTGTAACATTCCAGCATCAAGTTAGTATAGTCATTGACATTACCATTACTTTAGAAAGGTAAAGTCATCTTACACTTGCACAGATGCTCTTGACCTCAGCCTCCCAAGCCATCTTCTGGCTCTGTCATTTGACCTCCAGAACCACAGGAGGACAGAAAAGTAAACCAGAAGGAAGCCTTAGTGCCCGGCTCTGCATGTAATGCCAACTAACATGATAGGTAGCCATAACATCACCTGCTACACCTTTATAGTTTGTTAAGCAATGAAAACTGCTGAGTTCTGCCCTCAGTTCTCTTCACCAATAGAGGCAAGAAACTTTGAAAAGGAACCATATGAAGGCACATGCAGTTTTGGAATGATTACACTAAATAATTACCTGTGTTTACCTGTGAGAATTCAGCCCAGATGAAGGGGACATTGATCTCCAAAACATGTTGCCCTTACCTTTACACTGCATCGTAAACAATTCCAGCTTGTATTTTATGGAACATTTTTTGTATCTATTTCATTAATTCTACTGCAGCTTGCCCCCTCAAGCCTTCGGTTTTTCATTACCATAGTCAACAGGGCTGTAAAAGTGAAGTCTCTCACATGGCAATCTTTCTCTAATGGGGCAGTATATCATACAATTACCAGTCTCTCTCTAATAAGCTCAACCAGCATAATGGCTGGTTAAACCAAGCTATTTGCCTCTAAAACGCTGTAAAACACACTGCAGAAATAGGTCAGATAGCCCTGCTCCAGAACACTGATTATTAACCAGTCATAATGAGTTACACCAACCTTTATTGTACCAGGCGTGTCCTAGTCCCTTACTAGGATTATCTTGTAAGTAGAAGTTTTCAGTGGTTGGCTGATAAACAGCCATATGAGCAAAGCCCTGCTCCAGAACACATTCTACAATAATTTACAGGTTCACAGGAAAGACATTTTTACATTAAATTGGGGTCATATAGAAACTGAAGCCCAGCCTTAGATCCTTTCTATACAGACCGAATTTCTCCAGGACAAGGAGTCATGACTTTAGAATGTATATCCAGTGTCACCTTCTGGAGAAATATGGTGTCCTGGCTCATCTAGCAATATATAATGGCACTCTGTGTGGGAGGCCTTCATTCTGCTTTATAATACAATGACACAGGGAAGAGTGGCCCACTTTTGCAAGGTGGATGGGGAAGAGATGGATCCATCAGTATCACTGCAATGTCTAAGACTGGCCATACACTTGTCTATTTTTTTTGTTCAACCCGCAGGCTGAACGAAAAAAGTAGACCAGATTCCTCCATCAACACAAACAGCGTGTTAATCAAGGAATCCCCTGGTTTACATTGTATTCTGACAGGAGCCGCCGACACCTGTCAGAATACCCGATCAGAGAGGGCAGCTCATTGGCTGCCCTCTCTGATCGTTCGAAAATTTTCCAGCCGGCTCCATCAAAAAAACACGCCACAATTTGAACAGTGTATGGGCACCTTAAGACAACAATTAATTTAAGAGAGCGATAAAGAAATAAGCATTTGTATCTGGATCTCCAATCTTAAACTTAAAGAGTGCTGCGTTACCTCTCAGGGATAGGTGCATGTCCTGTAATTGTAATTTCGGTCTGTCAAAGTAAACATGTGCAGTCTAGTATCAGGCCGTAGGGCTGTCATGTTAACCTTTTTCCTGTCTGAGCTCAGGCCTGATAACTGAGATATTCCGTGTGCTCGTGGAGGAAGTTGTGTTAATTAAACCTTTTTCGCAACTCCGTTTTTATATGAAAAGTTTATGTTTGTCTTTTATCAGCGATTAGCTCAAGCAAGAGATAGAGCAGCCTTGCAGTCTGACACTCAGCATGATACTTTTGCTCTGACAGGGAGAGAATACAAGTAAATAGTAAACGTAATCTCTGAGATATAAGGCTGCACAATTATAACAATTCAAGAATAAAGATTTGGACTTTTATAAATGCCCTTTATAGACTGAAAATAAATAAAAATGTTAAATGTTAATGATAAAACATAACCATAATACTTTCATAAATATGTATCTATTAAGATTTTTTAAATAAGCATAAACATTATCTATGCTTCTGAACACACGGTCATTTAACAATTTGAATGCATTATTTTGTGTGTTGCAGGCTTTTTCTGATGAATATAATTCTCTTACATGGCCTTTCTCTAGCAGATTATGACAAAGCAGATTTGCTGTGTCTGAATGATACCTTTTGTCTACTATACAAGAACAACACACTCACATTCTAAATTTAGAATCAATTGCTCTAACACAGCTGAAATTAGTGACAATTGCTTATCCTTCACTTGTTTTCAGATGCCTATTCTTTCCATGTTCCCCAAAAGCCTTTGTTGTCACTTTTATGCCACAGGAAACTTCAAATAATCCATTAGGAAATGCATTTAGTACAGTTGTTTCTACTTTTCTTTTAATGTTCGGTCAGAAAATTTTTTTCCAACCTGACCAAACGAAAAATTTGATCGCGATATAAAAAAAGAAAATCAGTGATGTACCATCAACTGTTTTTTCGTTCGCAAGACTGCTCCTGTACGATTTCCAAATGAAAACCGCACAGTGTATGGGCACCTTAACTTACCCCTATTCTATCCAAAACTTTAAAAAAATTAAAAGGGTTATTCACAAAAGGGTGAAGAGTTTGGAGAAGGCAGGAGAAGGAAACAATCTAGGACAACATAGCTAAACTGGAAAGTGAGCTGAATTGGAGAATTTTTCTAAATCAGCTATGTTGTCCTAGATTGTTCACTTCTCCTGCCTTCTCCAAACTCTTCACCCTTTAGTGAACAACCCTTTAGGTTTTAACTTTAGATAAACTTAAGAAATTATTCATTAAACTTGCTATGCAGAAATAATATCTTATGTATAATTCATATTCTCACCCTTTGTTTCCTTCTCCTGTTATGGCAATGAGGTCATCCAAATCTTGACTTCTGCAATGTACCATTTAAAGAACATTTAGAGACATACTGTATCACAAAACATGAGCACTTTCTACAACATGTCCTCAATAGCACAAATTATGTTAAAGGTTAATTCCACCCAAAATGGATTTGTTCTTTTTTCGTAGATACTGAAGAGTTAAACCACCTGACAATTTTATACACAGTTTAAGTTTCTGAATTTAAGTTCCAGAGACTGCACACTTGCTGTTTCCATTATGAGGGGCTCCCACTCTTCCATTTGATTTATTTTTTAGCATGGAACATGCAACAGGGTGAGCTGGAACATTGTAAGGTAGCCAGGAACACCCAAGACTCCCTGGTGTATAGGAACAGAGTATGGTACTATAGCAGAGAATTCTTGCCATTGAAATATCCACGATGTATAATACGTCAGAGGTTGATTTAGTTCACCAAGCTCCACCTAAAACTAAAATATGAATTTGGTGGATTAAGCCTTTAGCACAAATAAGCATGTTCCTTCATCTGCGACTATATACACACTACCTTTGTTGGACGAAATTACCCCACCACAATCTGATCATAGTCAGCATTGGGGTAAGTAGACATTGTAATTTCACCTACCATAACTGTACACAACACTTGACCATTCCTTAAAGGCAAATTATATTCATTTTGGGCAATGTTATGGATTTTAATACATTTTGAGAATGATGTTGATAGAAGAACTCTGGGCAGTTAAACAATTAACCTTTGTAATGGGGCTACCCCCACACTACAGGGGGTTAAGAAATGCTTGTTTTGGTCTAGGGTCTAAAAAAAAAAAAAGATATACTCACCCAATCCTTGGTCCCACGTCAGTGACGGCTCACCTCTCTCCCCCTCTGCTCTGGCTGTTCAATGCCCCTTGGTGTCCTTCCAACGCAAGTGAATGGACATGATGACATCACAAGTCCATAGAACGCTGGAGCCGGGAGGAGATGAGGTCGCGGGGACTGGTCTAGCAGTCACTCATGTGGCCTGAAAAAGTCTCATAAGCAACAACACTACTGTCATAGAAGCCAGGTTTCTATTGTAATGCCTATGGCTAAGGGACTTTAATTTAGGAACCCATAGTGCCTTCCTTCTGATTCTGGTAGATTGGCAGTGCCATATTAAGCACCTACATTTCCTGCTGCTCCCCTTTTTATAAATACAATTACACTGCTTGATCAGGTGGGTTCTGGGAGACTAAGGGGTGCTACATTTTTATTAGCACATGTGCTGTGTGTCTGTCTCTGAATACCTTTGACCGTAGGAATTGTGTACTACGGATTTTCAGATATCTTCAGTGGTGACCTTTCCGGCCACATTAAGGAGGCACCAAAGCTCTCATTACATGAACTTTCAATTAAATTAGGGCTGGATTTATCATTCATTTTTTGCCATCTTCATTAGAATGAGGTCAGCTCACGTTTTTGTTTTTTTACATATTGTCACAATAATCTAACCAGGTTAGGACAGTTAATACTAGAAAATGTTAATTGTATAATAGTTGATCCTAGCAAAAGGGTGTTCTTCGGGTGCTAAGTTTGTGTGCCTACTCGCTTCAGCAACAGAAATCCAGACCTGAATGTAATAGTGTTTTCACTATTAATACCTCATGGTATTTATTGCTCTGATGAAGGTTAGGTCTACTGTTAAGTTCATGAGTTAGGCTAAGGCTAGTTTATGGGTTTATTAAGGTTTAAAGGCAAATGCTCAGTTTAAAGCCAAAAGCCCATTTTTTTTATATTGGAAGGAGTAGGGAATGGTTTAATTTTTTTAATCTGTCTCCCATTCAAGAGGTTTCACCTCCTGCCCATTAGATAAAAGAAGAAGCGAGAGGTTCTCACCAAAGTAAGGGTAATGCCCCTTTAGACAATTGTCACTTGAACAAGTGTCACTGAAAGATTTCCCCTCTGATACTGTTTTGGTGACACTCACAATTTTAGATTTTCCCTCATTTTCAGTTTTAATGAAAGCGGTCACTATTCACTTAGGACAAATAGAGAGAATTTCTCTAACAGGAACGGCAATTAAAACTAACAGGGGTTCTGCTGATCCTTCCCTGCTCTATCCAAATCTAAAAAATATACCCTTTTTGGCTTTAGATATACTTTAGGTCATTGTGTGTCTGTTACTTTTTCAGGTTTGATAAGTGTATAACAAAAGCCATTCATGTCATAAAACGCCCATTGCAAATAAAATGCAATTTTTATAAGCCAAAAATCAACACATCAACCACAGAACAACACACAACAGTTTTATAATAAAAAGTATACAACAGCATATTAACAACACATTCTCACTTTACTTATGGATAAATGAATAACAGTTGTTACAGTCAATTAACACGTCTTTGTGTTAAACGGCCAATCAGGTTGAGGGCAGACTAGGAGCAAAACTGGAAATTCCACCTTTACAAGAGTGGGTGTTTGAAGGGAATAATGTTTTGGCAGCCTGATGAACTTCATAAAGTCATCGCATTAGAGTTAAAGCTTAAAGCACAGTTTGGTGACAGACTGAATCACCTCCAAGTTTGTTTTTTTATATCTTTCTTATATACTCCACCAGTAAGATTTTGTACCACCTCCTGATTCTATCATACAGGGTTTTATACATTGGGGAGAACGCAGCTGAAATAGTGAGATTTCCAAGCATGCTTTTGCAGTGGTTGCAGTGAACTGCAGTGCAGAGATCCCATTGTAAGGACACATTCACACTGTAACACGTGCATTTTCATGTGTTGACGGTGTTAGGCAGCACATTCAAAATGAATGGGCTGCAACAGACCTCAGCACATGATTAAATAGGTGCTCTCTGCAATGTTTTGTAACACAATGCACAGGACAGGACACACACAGGCAAAGTTTTTCAGTTCATTGCAGATACGCTGAGATGCAGTTTACAATGAATGTCAGCACAGCATACCAACACACTTAACACGCATTACTGCAATGTGGCTGGTGTTGCATTGAGTGCACTGAACACATTTGCCACAGATCTGGTTTTTGGTGCCTTGGCAGCCCATATAGCATGTGACATAATGTGGATTAACACCCCTATATTAAATGCAGCACAGTGGACCGCCTTGGTGTTATTGGAAACATATCCTTTAAACTACCAATCTACCGTGCTTGTCAAATAAACCTAATAATTAGTAAATTTTACTTACCCCTTATTTGTACTAGTAGTGTTAGTATTTTTAATGTCAATTAGATTGTCAAGATTTTGAGTCCTGAAAAATATGCATGCATTATTGTTTAATATAACGCTCAACACAAGATTGTTTAAACAAAATAAAACAAACAAATTATTAGGGCAATTTAAAGGACACCTGTACACCTATCTTTGTTTGCCTACAGTATCCAGTGATGGAAACTCAGCCCTGAATATAATGGTATTTTTACTGTAAAGGTGACCATACACTGTGCGAATCTCAGCTGGTTCTTGAGGAACCAGCCGTAATTCACAGAGTGGGTGCCGGCACCCTTTCGGCCAGTTGAAAAACCAATGATCCAGGCTGGCCAATGAGGTGCTGGCTCTGTTTGGGTATTCTAACAGTGGCCAGCAGCCACTGTCAGAATACAAAGGAAACAGCGAGGATTCCTCAGTCAACGAGCTTGTAGCATTGATGGAGGAATTTGTTTTATTTTTTTCTTTTAGCCCGCGGGTAGAACAACAAAATAGAGCAGCATATGGCTGTCCAGCGTATCGTTATGATCGTCAGATTAGGGTTCCATTTAGTGATTATGGTCAGATTAACAGTTACATGAGGTTAGGGTTAAGTCTAGGGATTAATTTAGGTTTAATGGCAATGGTGAGTTTTCCTTTCGATCTGTCAACAACTGTATGTAGTGCTAGGGCCTGCCTGATTGAATACAGATAAATTGGATAATTTAGGTAGGTTCTCATGGTATAGATTTTTGGTAAATCTAGAGTTGATTGTATACATATTGTACGGTCGTATGCTGACCCTAACGCATGAACCATAGGATGGCACACAAATAATAAGATAGTATAAACACTAAGAAACAGCATATTAGTAAACAATTCTTTCAGGCAGTCAATTGGGTTAAGACTAAATTGGAAACAACAGCCTGGTGAACCTTCAGGAAGGACCACTCCACCAAAAGTGGTCATCCACTGTGTAAATGGTGTCTAACTGAATTACACACAATGGTTTTTATATTTCTTATGAACTCCACCAGTGAGATCTGTGTCCTCAGCTTTATCCACCTGCTCAAGCCATTATTTGGTTGTCCATGCTTGCTTTGCATTTTTATACATGATGGTAAATGCAAAACCAGTAGAGAGACCCACACTC